ATTTTTTTATATATATAATTATTTTTCTAAATTACACACACACACCCAGCCTTTTTTCTAATCATTTTAAATGTTTAAAAACCAGATATGGAAATAGATTATGGAATTAGGATGATCAGTATAAATAATGTTTAAAATTGCTCTGATATGGGCTGATTCATGTTGTAAGGAAAAACTATTACTCCATTTTTGAAAAAAAAAAAAAAAAATGATTGGTGTCAGTTTTTCACCAGATGTATATAATTCATTTATTATACCCGGGAGCTTAGTATAGACTTGCTGCACTAGATCAGCCATTTGTGAGAGTGCACTTGAGGAATTTAGTTTTTTGTTCTGCGTCCCTGTTTCCTATAGCTTTACCAAAGTGTAAAAAAAAAAAAAAAAATAGTTTGTTGTTATGGTTATCTGTAGGGGCAAATTTAAAGATTTATGAATAGTTCAAATGAAGTATATTCATGAAATCTTTTATTTTATTACAGAATCATTAATAGGTGCAGTGTGCTAATTAAACTTGTGTTACAGTCTACAGGGCTTGTATTTTGGCTAAAGCGATACAAACCATACATTCAGTCTTTTGGCAGGCAAAATGATCTCGGCTAGAAGTGTGTGCCTAGTAACAGGTTATCAGTGAACTGAAACTGAATAGTTAACCTAATGCTGTTGAGTGGTTTCCTGATGTGAAAGCCCTCTCTCCCGAGCTGTAATCATAGTGGCCTGGGCCCTGCTCCCAGGGGTTCATGTAGGCATCATAATATGCGCAGCACAATAGTACATCCCCCTGGAAAACGGGACTGGTGCACCATGGCATGTTTGCCCACATGCCATGGCATGTACTGCAAGCAAAGAGAGGTGCAAAGATATATCTAACTTCTAATTGCTAATTAACATCACAGTAATCATAGATTGTTGTTACCAGTGTTTCTGATAGTTCATACCAATTTACTGGCATGAGACACCAAGCTTTTATCTCAAATCCCATCACTTCATTAGAGTTTTAGATGAGTCTAGTAATAAAAAGTAATTTTGAAAACATGAAAATTTTGTTATTTAAAAATTGTATTAGTGTTGAAAATAATATCATTGTACATGTGGACATCTCTCTTAGATGATTCGGTTAAATAAGACAATGTTTTGAAATATGTTTTTTGTGATGCCAAAGATGACTCTGCTCTCCTAATTACTGGAATATTTTAATTAGTTCCATGAATTTTATGTTGCTATTGTATTCTCTACATCACATAATGTATGGGTAATATTTTGATTGTGTCTTAACTTCACAATTTTGTTTTTCAGGGGTGTGATGGCGGAAGGTAATGGAGGTGGTGACCCTGGGTCACAGGTAGATGGGGAGAGAACAGAAGATTACCAGAAACTAATAAATTATGGTTTAAATGAAAAAGTGGCAGCAAAGCTTGATGAAATCTACAAACAAGGCAAACTTCGACATGAGGTGAGAATTGAACAATGTGAAAAAAATGCATTTTCCATTCTGTTTGCACAGTTACTCATTTTGTACTTAATGGTATATTGATCTAAAAAAACATTTTTTTTTGCTTGCTTGCTTGCTTGCTTACTGCATCATATTGTTTCCTTTTCTACTTTAATTATTTATTTGATGATGCAGCAAAATTATAATCTTTTAAATAGATTTTAGAAGCAAATATGAGAACGTTATTTATATCTACATAATATTTTTCGGTCTTGCTTCCTGCAACTATTTGATGCTTACACACTGACACATGCTATCACACATACACATGTATTTACATACATATACATACCCATGCTATCACACAACCACATGCATGCACACACACAAACATACATGCATACACAAATACATGCATTCATATATGATAACCCATGTGTACACATGCACACACTTGTACACCCTCAAATGCACATGCACACGCACATGCACAAACACAAATGTGAACATTCTTCATATAAGCATCATTGTTAGTATTAGGATTTGTATTCTTTTAAGTAACAATTCTATTATTAATATTATAATAATAATAATAATAATAATAATAATTATTATTATTATTATTATTATTATTATTATTTTAGTTTAATATTTTAATTTAATATTTTGATGCTTATGAATAATTTGTTTACTTACTTGTTTGGCTACTTATTTTGACAGGATTTGGATGAACGGGCACTGGATGCATTAAAAGAATTTCCTGTAGAGGGAGCAGTGACAGTTTTGAAACAGTTCTTAGAATCTAACTTGGAACATGTTTCTAACAAGTCAGCATACTTGTGTGGCGTTATGAAGACATATCGACAGAGGAAACAGTATAACAGTAAGTTCCAGTTCTTTGCCCTTTTTCATTATTTAATGTATAAATACATTTAATTATGAAACCAATATATATAATTTGATTATTAATGTTGGTTATTTCCTTTTACAGCAGATAGTATGACTGTCAATCCAGGCAAAGGCCCAGATGAAGATAATTTGAAAGCCATCTTGGAGCGATCTGGATATACACTAGATGTTACTACAGGGCAGAGGAAGTATGGAGGCCCACCGCCAAACTGGGAGGGCCCACCACCAGGCCCAGGATGTGAAGTAAGCTAAATTTGTGTGTGTAATTTAGATTGAGCATGTTTGTTTAAGTTTTCATACAAGTATTAGGTAATTTATTGTCTTTTTTTTTATTGCTAATAGTTTTATATAGTTATACATTTGACCTTCATGAGCTGAATAACTTTTGAGATTAATTATATTTTCTCTTGAATGTATCATATAGTGAAGGATGGTCTTCAGTCTTTTTGATATGAGTTCCCACAATTGATATACTGTTTGATTTCATTTGATTTTTACCCTTTTTCAGGTGTTCTGTGGGAAGATACCAAAAGAACTGTATGAAGATGAATTGATTCCCTTGTTTGAGAAGTGTGGCGAAATTTGGGACTTGCGTCTAATGATGGATCCAATGACAGGTCAAAACAGAGGCTATGCCTTCATTACTTTCACAACACGTGCAGCTGCCAATGAAGCAGTTTCAAAGGTATGTTCTTTGTACAGTATGTAGCTTAAGCAGTAATCAGTTGTGACTGGTACTTGCTTCTTTTGATTTTTAGTTCTGATTTCAAGAAAGATAATTTTTAAAGTATATGATTTGAGAAGTCAGAGAAAGCTCTTGATTTGAGTTTTCAGATTTATTCAACTATGAAAAGTGATCTTCACTAAAAAAAAAGAAAAAAAGGCAAAGAAATAAATTTTGCCAATTGTCAACTCTTCTTCAGACTCACTTTGATTAGTGAGGTATTTTACAAACGAAGGTTGACTTTCAGATTTTGATTATTTTTCTTTTGAAAGCAAATATTACATTGAGTAAACATACTCTGTGGTCAGATTGAATTTTGTCCAAAAGCTTTAAAGTGTAAATAGAAGACACTGTTTTAAATGACAAATCACATAGAATCCTTTCTTTTCTTTTTTTTTTTTTGAAAGAGAAAATGTAAGACCCCCCCAGAAGGTTACATATTCCCTTCTCACACCCAGTACCTCTCACTCTCTTGTCTTACTACTTTCCTTATTCCTTTTCTGCCTCTTCCCTTCTCTTATTTCTCAGGGAGTTATTAAGATAGGGGTGAGACTAACCTACATTACCTCATCCTTTTGAGATGTAAGCTTTTGTCTCAATGAACTTGTCAAAGTCTAAGTCTAAGTCTCTCTCTTTTCTTGCCCCTACCCCTTAACTTATCTACACTCTCCTTTCCCCTTGACTCTATTAACCCCTTAATGACGGGTGAAGAAGAAGAAAAAACAAAAAGAACTATACACTCTGGAGATCATTGGCAACTTGCCGACTTTGAGTGTGGGAGTTTGGTACATCTGGCCAAATCAGGGGCTCGTAGCGCTTTGCCGCGTCACCACAGCGTACAGCCGCATTCCACAGATCGAGCAGTTTGTTATGATGCCTCAGGGCATGACCCGTTGGGAAGGGGTTAACCCCTCCTCTAAGCTTTGCCTCTATCCATTTTTTGCTTCTGTCCTTCCTTTAGCTAACTGGAATTGTGATTCTTCTGGAGGAAGAATAGTGACTTGACTTGAAAGTTGATATTTTTGTATATGACTTTACATAGTTGAATACCTCTGAAAAAAGGCTAAATGTGTTGTCAACTTAAGTTTTGTGGGTTAGTGTCCAATCTTATGTTCGTTGCCACAAGCATGCATGTGTGTGCACAAACTTGTACACTTATTTGAACACATCTGAATACACATATACGTGAACTCATGCAAACACTTACACATAACATAGTTACACCCATATAAACAGTTATACACTTGTGAGCACAGGCATGTGCAGAAATACTTGCAAACACTTGAACACTTTCATGTTCTCACACTTTTACACACACATGGTAGCATGCACACAAACATATGCAAATGTGCAGACATATGGACATGCATATGTATGTATATACACAAAAAGGAATGCATGCAAAGATGCAAATGCACACATGCAAACATGCAAATGCTCACATGCAAATATACATTCACACTTACAATCAAACATACACATGCAAACAAGCACATGCTGTCATACTCAGACATGCAAATATACATGAATACATGCAAATACACAAACTCATGCAAACATAGACACATATGCAATCATGCACACACTTGCAAACATGCACACACTTGCAAACATGCACACATGCAGACATACATACATGCAAACACACATACATGCAAACACACATACATGCAAACACACATACCTGCAAACACAAACACACACATACACACACATACATATGCAAACATACACATAGACATTTACAGACACATGCAGTCATACACAGACACATTCATTTATTCACAAACATGCAAATATACATGAACACGTGCAAATATACAAACTCATGCAAAGATACACATGCAATCATGGATATGCATGTGATCATGCACACATGCAACCATGCATACACGTGATCATGCACACATGCAATCATGCATACACACATGATCAGGCACACTTGCAGTCATACATATGCATGCAAACACACACATGCAACCATGTACACACTTGCACATATATACATGCAAACATGCACTCACTTGCAAACATATATGCAATCATGTACACACTTGCAAACATACGTGTAACCATGCACTTAGTTGCAAATATACACACAGACACTCACACATACACATGCTGTCTTCATGCACATGCATGAAGACTGCACACACATGCAGACATGCCTTCACATGCAATATGCACACTTGAAATGAAAACATACAAATGCACACACATAAAAACATACAAATGCACACACACAAAAACATACAAATGCACACACATAAAAACATACAAATGCACACATAAAAACATACAAATGCACACATGCAAACATACAAATTCACATTCCAACATGCAAATGCAAATACACACATTCCAACATGTAAAAACATGCCAACATGTAAATACACACATTCCAACATGCATATGCTAACATGGCAACTTGCAAGTGCACACATTCCAACATGCATATGCTAACATGGCAACATGCAAGTGCACACATGGCAACATGCAAGTGCACACATGTGCAAGTATAAAAATGCATAATGCAAATGCACACCACATAAAATACACATGCAAACATGCAAATGTATACATGCCAACATTCAAATGTATACTTGCCAACATTCAAATGCACACATGCCAACATGCAAATGTACACATGCCAACATGCAATGTACATATTCCAACATACAAATACACATGCAAATGTACACATGCCAACATGCATATCACATTCCACCATTCAAATGTGCACACATGCCAACATTCAAATCATGCAAACATTCAAATGCACACATGCAAAATCACACAAACCTATGTGCACTCACAGACATGTACATATACAAATGTGTACACAGACACGTATACAGACATCTGTATACGTATAAATTCTCACATACTCATGCACATGAAAAACATTTGCACACTGAATAAACACTCGTGAATACACACACAAAAAAAATTCATGACACAGAAAAAACACTTATGCACACAGAAAAAGTACTCCTGTGCACACTCAAAAAATGTACAAACAGAAAAAACACTAATGATCACATAGAAACCCTCATGCACACGTACACACACAAACACGCATGCACACAAATGCACTCATGCACACGTACACACACAAACACGCATGCACACAAATGCACTCATGCAGAAAGATTCATGCACTTGTGTATAAGCTCATACACGTGTATTCATGCACCTGTGTTAATACTCATGCAAATGTAAACACTCATGCACATGCGTAAACACTCGTGCACACACGTAAACACTCATGACATGTACACTCAAAAACACACTCATGAACACACACATACACTGATGTAAACACGTACACTTACATGTACACCCAGTACACATATGTACACTCATTTACACACAGTACACTCATGTACACACAGTACATACACATGTACAGACATGTTCACACTCACATGTACACACCCACATGCTCACACATGTTCACACTCGCATGTACACACCCACATGCTCACACATGTTCACACTCGCATGTACACACCCACATGCTCACACATGTTCACACATGTTCACACTCGCATGTACACACCCACATGCTCACACACGTATACACAGTATATACACATATACACACATAGACACAGGTAAACATGTACACTCTCACGCACATGTACACCCACTCACATACAGTCCAACTGAAATACACATTCAGACAGTCATACATACTCATGTATAACCCCCCCCCCCCCCAACACACACACACACACACACACACACACACACACACACACACACACACACACACACACACACACACACACACACACACACACACATGCACACACACACATGCACACACACACGCACACACACACGCACACAAACACGCACACAAATACGCACGCACACAAATACTCACACGCACACAAATACTCACACGCACGCACACACACACACACATACACACACACACACACACACACACACACACACACACACACACACACACACATACATACATACATACATACATACATACATACATACATACATACATACATACATATACACACACCCAAATAGACACCCCCATAAATACACACCCACAAATACACACCCACAAATACACACACACAAATACACACACACAAATACACATACACAAATACACACACAAATACACACACAAATACACACACAAATACACACACAAATACACACAAAAGCAGACACAATTACACACACAATTACACACACAAATACACACACAAATACACACACACACACAAATACACACACACACACAAATACACACACACACACAAATACACATACACACACAAATACACACACACACAAATACACACCACACACAAATACACCACACACAAATACACCACACACACACACACAATACACACACACACACAAATACACAAACACACACAAATAACACACACACAAATACACAAATACACAAATACACACACCACACAAATACACACACACACAAATACACACACACACAAATACACCACACACACAAATACACACACACACACACACAACACACACTCAAATACACACTCAAATACACACACAAAACACAGGCACACAAATACACACCACAAATACACACCCACAAATAACACCACACAAATACACACACACAATACACACACACAAATACACACACAAATACCACACACAAATACAACACACCACACACACAAATACACACACACAAATATACACACACACACATACACACACACACAAATACACACACACACACAAATACACACACACACACAAATACACACACACACAAATACACACACACACAAATACACACACACACAAATACACACACACACAAATACACACACACACACAAATACACACACACACACACACAAACACACACTCAAATACACACTCAAATACACACACAAACACAGGCACACAAATACACACACAAATACACA